ATATATATAATTATATAGATATCACATGCAACATATACATTTAAGTAGTTTTGACTATTTGAATGCAGCATTTTGTGTGAAATCATCTGTATCTGGAGATTTCTTTTTGCGGTTTTCTTTTTTCCTTTTTCAGTGCAGTGGGTTGGACTTGCACCTTGCAGGGCAGCAGCACCACTGAGCTAAACCCCTGGCCCCTTCGTGGTTTTCTCTTTGGAGACAGAGTCTCACTAAATTGCCTGGTGTCACCTTGAACTCAGGATCCTCCTGCCTCAGCCTCTGGAGTAGCTAGGGATTCAGCTGTGCATCACTGTACCTGGTTTATGGGGAGGATTTAAATTCAGGGTTATAGCACTTTTTAGCCTTTCTATTTTTTTGGTGTCAGTTTTGCTAATTTGTATTCACCTACACATGTGTCCATGTCACCTAACCGTAGAGGACACTGCTCTTCCCTGTGTTACTGGAGCTGCGTAGAAGATCAGATTGTGGCCTTGTGCCAGGCGTTCAGTGCTCCAGGCCTCTCGCTGGTTGGAACCTTGTCCTCAGGTTTGCCTGTTGGTGCACAGACCAGCACATAGTCTAGGGTCTCCCCTAGAAATAGAATTACTTCATCATTATAGTGAGTCATTTAAAAACCTGACACCACCCCACCTCCATGAACACTGCCCGAACTGATTTTTTCCTTTTTGCCTTCTTTTTCTTTTCTTCCTTCATCCCTCACTCTCCTTTCTTCCCTCCCTTCTTTCCTTCCCTCCTTATGCATTGGACCAAACCTACTAACCATGCCATCTACCACTGAGCTACACCTGTTTTTGAGAAAGGGTTTCCCTGTGCAGTTTAGGCTGACCAGGCTGGCCTTGAACTCTTGGCGATTCTCCTGCCTCAGCCACCAGAGTGCTGGGATAACGGGTGTGCACCACCATGTCCAGCTGACAGTAATTTATGAGGTATGTTTTTTGTTTGAGACACGATCTCACTGTGTAGTCCAGGCTGGCCTTGAACTCACAGTGGTCCTCCTGCCTCCAGGTACCTGTTTTTCTATTTCATAGATGGATAAATGGAGACTTAGAAGCCACGCCTGCCCTGGTCACACAGCAAAGGGGAGTTGAATCAGAGCGAGGGTATTGATTGCTTGTGTGTCTGGGTGGAGCCACCTCATTGTCTCTGAATTCTGAAGGAGCAGGACCAGGCTTGCTTTTTTTTTTTTTTGTCTCCTGTGTTGCCAGCACCCAGCCAAGTTCTGGGAGTACAGCAGGGAACAGAGTAGAGGATGTTTTGCTATTGAAAAGAAAAGGCTACTTTGGGGCTGGGATGTAGCTCAGTGGTACAGCACATTCCTAGCACATGCGAGGCCCTTGCTTCCATCCTGAGGATGTTTGGTTTTTGTAGTTTGCCAGGATAAGCCTTTGCTTGTCAGGATCCATGTCTCCTTCATACAAGAGGTCACTGAACCCGAAAGCAGACTTGTCCACAGGGCCACACAGGCCACCTAGTGGTCCACACGCTTGAGGTACATATGGATGACTCACCAAAAATAACAGTTAACTGCGGTGGTGCACACCTATAATCCCAGTACTGTAGGAGGCTGAGGCAGGAAATTGCAAGTTCAAGGCTAGCCTGGGAAATTTACCAAGAAAGACTCTGTCTCAATATGAGAAAAAGTTAGGCGATTAGTTCAGCGGTAGAGTGCTTGCCTACCATGCATGAGGCCCTGGATTTAGTCACCAGTACTATAACGAACAAAAAACCTAGCAGCAGGGCTGGGGATTTGGTTTAGTGGTGCTGCTGCCTGCCTCAAAAATGCAAGGGCTGGAGTTCGATCCCTAGTAAAAAACAAAACAAAACAAAACAAAACAAAAAACTAGCAGCTGACATTGAGAACTTAAGAATATTAGATTCCATTCTTACCACTTTGCATGTATTGACTCACTTAAATCTGACAACCCAACAAGCCACTATTACTATGCCCACTTTACACATGGAAAAACAGGCACAAAGGTTTAAGGAACTTTCCTGAAACACTTTTTTTTTTTCTTTTTTTTTTGAGACAGGGTCTCACTATGTAGTGCAGGCTGACCTTGAATTTGTAGCAGTCCTCCTGCCTCAGCCTCCCGAGTGCTGGGATTACAGGCTTGTGCTAGTAGGCCCTTATAAGTTTCTTTCCTGAAATTTATAAGTGGTGAAGTCAGAATTTAAATTTGAGCAGTGAGCTGGGCTAGGTGGTGCATGCCTTTAAATCTGGCACTAAGGAGGCTGAGGCAGGAGAATTGCTGCAAGTTTGAGGCCAGCCTGAACTACATACATAGTGAGACTTTCAAATAAATAAATAAATAAAATTCAGGCATTATCTCCAAAGTCCATGTTTTTAACCAGTGCTTGATGAAGCTTATTTACTATGTAATTATCTCTGAAGGGAAACAAGGTACTGGCAATAGAGAAGGAAGCTGGGGTTCGGTACTGACATAATATATTCTACAACTTGTTAAAAGGTAGTGAGTGTGGGTGAAAACTAAGCAGAGCTATGAGAAACAGATTAGGAGTAGAGAGTTTACGTGAGTGGTCAGAAATGGACCATTTGAGAAGGTGGGTTTTTCTGTTTTATGGTACTGGGGATCAAACTCGGGACCTTGCACTTACTTGCCAGGCAGACAGGGTGCCACTGAGCTACATCCCTGGCGAGAAGGCAACTTGAAAATTTTTTTTAATTTATTTTTTTATTTTTTTGAGACATGATCTCACTATTTAGCCCAGGCTGGCTAAATAGTGCAGAACTTACAGCAATTCTCCTAACTCAGCCTCCCGAGTGCTGGTATCACAGGAGTGTGCCACTGTGCCTGGTGCCTGGAGAAGGTCACATTTGAAAGAGGACTGAAGTAGGTGGAGGAGTAAGACTTGTGGGTTTCATAGGGAAGAACATCCCACCTGGAAGGACTAGACAGTGCAAAGGCCCTGAGGCCAGAATATGCCAGGCCCGCTGGCAGAACATCACAGTGGCCATGTTGCTGGAGCATGAGTTGGGGGGTAAGACCAGAGAGGTGGGAGGGATCACCATGCGCATGACCCTGGTTTTTACTCCAAATAAGGTGAGAGTCATGGGAGAATTCTGAGCAAAAGAGGGACTATTTTGGGTTTGTTTTGGTGGGAGGAATGCATAGTTAACAGCTCTATTGAGTATAATTCATATACCATAAATTCACCCATGTAAAGTCTACAATTCAATGCTTTTTAGTATTTTTACAGATTTGTACAACTATCACCACAATCAATCCAAGAACATTTTATCATCCCGAAGAAATCTACATTCTTTAGCCATCAACCCCCAGCCTCCCTAGTCCCTGGCAATCACAAATGTATTTTTTGTCTTGTACAGATTTGCCAGTCCTGGACATCCACATATAAACAGACTCATAAGATACGTGGCCTTTTGTGACTGGCTTCTTCCCCCCGGATAACGCAGTGTGATGGCGTGTATCAGCACTGGGTTTATTTCTCTTGTGAAATGCTATTCTCTTGCCTAGATAGCCTGCATTTACTTTGTCCTTTCATCGGCTGCTCGACCCTGAGCTGTTTCCACTTTGAAGCTGTCGTAGATGAAGCTGCTGTGGTTGTTTGTGTCCATGTTTTTGTGTTAGTATATTTTCCATTTCCCTTGAGTATATACCCTATGGGTGGGATTGCTTTGTCATATGGTAGCTCTGTGTTTAACCTTTTGAGGAACTGCCAGACTTTTGTTTGTTTGTTTGTTTGTTTTTTGAGACAGGGTCTCACTATGTAGTTGAGACTTCCCTGGAATTCACTGTGTAGCCCAGGCTGGTCTCAAATTCACAGTGATCCTCCTGCCTCAGCCTTCCAAGTGCACCTCCCAAGTGGTGGCATGAGCCACCACACCTGGCAAGAGGCCTTAGTTTTAAAGAGTCTTTCTGGCTGCTCTAGGGGATCAGGCTGAGAGGGGCACCCATAAAAGCCCAGAGCCAAACAAGGAGGCCAGTGTAATACCCCAGGTGGACCAAGGTGGGCAGAGTGGAGGAAGTGTCTGCTTCTGAGGAAAATTTGAGATAGCCACATTGGAATTTGTTGCTAGATTAGTTGTGGAGAGTGAGCCAAGGGGAGTCAAGGATGACACCACCCCCGCCAAAAAAAAAAAAGAAAAAAAAAGAAAAGAAATAAAAAATCCACATAAAAACCCCCACAAAAAAAAAAAAGAAAAAAGAAAAAAATTACCATCCATTGAGGGTGTGGCAGATGGAATTAGGGCCTGAGTTTTTGACACTTTAAAATACCCACATTCAGTAGGCGACTGGTCCTAGAATTCGATGCTGCCTTTCATTAATCATTCCATGAATCCTAGTCCAGAATCTCAATTTCCTCCTCCAAATAAGGGGGACAATAATATGATGGGGACTAGGCTGTCACGAGACTGGAGCGATTCCAGTGCAGCAGAAGGCGGGAACGAAGGCTGTCCCGGGCTGGAAAGGCGGCAGAGGTCCGTCTGTCCCCTCCCCCGCCTCTGCCCTTTGTCCGAGGTAGGGAGGGAAGGGTGGCTGGGTCGTTCACCGTCTTTCCCGGCTGTGAGCCGGGTTTCCTCCTCGCGGGCTGACCGGCCAGATCTGCTGATGGAAACCAGCTGCGGGAGGCGCCGGGCTCGGCACACGCCCCAGGCCCCTCC